TTTAAAATATATTTCAGTCATATAGCTTACCTTTTTACATGTACAATATTTGTACAAATTGTATTCTTGTGAGCTGCCTTGCGTTTGGATGATTTTGTCTGAAATTTAATATTTTAAAAAACGTAGTCAGATACACATCAGGGCTCGAAATAGAAAAAATATATGGCCTGCCATTTTAATTTTTGTTTGGCAGGCCAAAATATTTTTCGCCTGCCATTTTTATTTTTGAACTGCCAAAAGTTTATAGCATGTTACCTGGTATATTTGTCAACAGAACCAAATAAACTTGTAATAAATGTTAACTTTACTAAATGTAAAACTTAAATAATGTTAACTTAAATATAAACTTATTTTGACGATTAGTTCTCGAATTCATCACTGTCACTACTAACATCTACAAGATCACAGTCAGACTAAAACTCAGTGTCTGTCTTGTCTGAAGACATGTCTACATCTAGCTCTGTTGTATCTGACTCTGAGTCCTTTAGTAGCTTCTTCACAGTTTCAGCAACCTGAGATTCAGGCAGTTTCTTTTAGTCTTAGAACCAGATGCTCTCGGCCCACTTGGCCTCACGTTAGGCCTTCGTTGTGTGGCACATTTCTCAGTCCATCTTGCAAGCACTGGTTGTGCATCAAATTTTTCTGGTGCAGGCCCTTCCTCCCAAATTCTTAGCAGATTCTCAACCCTCTTTTCTCCTAAGCAATTTCTCCAATCACTGTGGATACGATTCATTGTTGAGAACATGCGCTCAAGAGTTGCGTTACTGATTGGAACAACCAGGAGAATTTCAGCAACATGTAGGATGTTGCTCAGAGATTCTTTCTTTGAAGAACTGAAAAGCTTTGCCCAGACATCAACATATGTCATGGTTTTTAATCCAGTTGTCACAACCAATTGCTTCAGCTCATCCCACTCACATTCAATTTTCATGACATCACAACCGTTTGCACTGAGTAAGTCACAAAACCTGTCGATTACCAACTTCACTTCATCTTCACCATAAACATCATCAAGTCCTTGTTCTGGATAGACTTCAGTGTCTAAAATCTTCACAAGAGCATTGAACAGATTGTCGGTATTGGTAATATCATCAAATCTTCCTTTGAAACATTCAATGATAGTAGAGAGGATGTCATCATTGGCTGATTTAAGGCTGTTTTTTGCCTGTTCGATATGACTCAAGTTGACATCTTTGTAAATAAATTGCTCCTCTTGGTTGGTCAGATTACTGAAGAAATTACTCACACGACCAGTAGTAAAGACAACTTCACTGGACTCACTTAGCTTGTTCATGATGCGAAAAAACTTCTTCACTGCATGTACTGCTTCTACATCAATTTTTTCACGCTGGAAAATAAGACTCAACTCTGCTGCTGGCACAAGAATTTCAATGAAGTACTCAACAAACAAAGGGTACTTTGCATTTCTGTATTTGGTATACATTCCCTTAAATTTTTACCTGTCTGCACTCGTAAACGATTCATCCTCTGTAAGATGGTTAAGATGGGCAATAAGAAGACCATAATTCTTGCTTATCCAGTTCATTGCCCGGATTTTATGCTCTAGCCAACAAGTTCCACTTGCCTTCACAGGCATCGAAACTGCCATCTCCAGGGCCTCTCCTAATCCTTCCAACTGTACCATTTTCTTTGGACTTCTTTTGTAAAAGGAGTAAACATTCTGAAGCATTTCATTGATATCTGAGAACACTGTTGATTTCAAAGCATCTGCTATGCTCAGTTCAAGCCGATGGCTAGCACAATGTACTGTGACTAGCCAATCAATTCCTTCATCATCCTTCATGAGTACAGAAACACCTCCTCTCACTCCAAGATTGACAGCTGCACCATCAGCACCAAAACCCACAGTGTGTTCCTTAAGTGAATCTACTCCATGTTGTTCAAAGGCTTTTTTAATCAATGCTAGTACATCTGTGGCAGTTGCATGTTCCACCTTTTGAAGAGAGCCTCTGCCTTCCAGTGTCAGGATCCACATAGAGGATGTAGATGACCTCTTTTTCTTTGCTTCTAGCATCTGTGCTGCCATCAACAAGGATTGAGTAGTAATGTACTCTTTTCAACATCTAAAAATACAGATAACAGTACAACTAAAAATATTTAGACTTAAAACTTTCAAAGTAGAGAATCACCATATCCCAATTGGAGTCCACAAGGACCAGGGGGGTGCAAATACAATAACCCGATCTGGAGACTGGAATATCACTTAATTACAACCATTAAATCTAAATGTCAAAACATCAAAAGCACACGAACCTGGTTTAATTCCTCTTCATATATTTCAGCTATAGTGTCAACAAAATCTGCACATGCATGATCGTTTAGGTATGTTTGGCCCAATTCAACCCCATGCCGTTTCTCTAGCTTAGCAATGGCAACAAATTTGGTGAATGGCATCTCTTCTTTGGCAACAACATATGCTATTTCAATCAATTTCTTGACTCTTACTTTCTCATTCTCGTTTAGCTTAAAAAATGCCTTTCCCAGTGGTGTTGCAGCATATGCAGGTAGTGGGCCTGGCTTTGCTTTAAACATCTTTTCATCCTCCAACTTCAACGCAAGCTTGTGTGGTTCCCCATTCATGTGGGTTTTTACAGCATCTAGCTTCACATTTGTTGTACCACGACCGTACACCATGAAAAGTTAAAATTTCGCGTGTTTATTAGCTTCTTTTCATATTTTGCACACAGTTTGCATCGCACAGAAGTTACCCAAACTTCACCTTTGTGCCTATTAGAGTCTACAATTTCCAGCCAATTCCCAACTTTCCATTTCAAAACAGTAGATTTTTTAATATTTCTTGTTGTAGCTGAAGACTTAGACGCATTCTTGGACGCCATTTGTTTTGTATATTTAATAATGGCGGTCCTGAATGCCTGAATGTAGCCTGGGATCTAGTATACCGCTGGACATTAGTATGCGCCAGCAATTTTATTTAATATCTTTGGCTTTGAATGCTGCACTTGACTTTGTGTTTTATATTTGCACTGGCGATTATTAACACTTTCAAATAATTAAAATTGGAGTTTTTAGTGGTAACTGGTAAGCAAATAAAACGAAACATATCTATAGAATTTCGCCTGCCATTTTATTTTTGACTTGGCAGTTCAAATTTTTTTTCGCCTGGTATTTCTCCAATATGGCCTGCTTTTGGCCATTGGCAGGCCGCTATTTCGAGCCCTGCTGAGCTAACTGCCACGCGAGGCGGTTTGCTCAGCAAGTTGCTCTCGTGTGCGGCGGCCTTAAGAAGCTAGGTTGCATAAATTTCATATTGGAACCCCAATAATTGAAATGCTCCTCTCATGGGGTCTCTTGCTGTATACTGAGACCACAATATAGAAATACTCTTGCCCTATCTAGTTAACCTATTTTTATTAACTCATGCTGGGCCTTGGTTTCTTTTCTAGGTCATCATACCAAACACTGCATGTGAAGCTGGCAAGATGACGAAACTTTGTGAAATTATCACAGATCAATTTTCCAATGTCAGTCTTTCAACTGTGCAAAGAAAATATTTCAATGAATCCCAAGGTAAAATTTTTGTTCAAATATTTTCCCCCACGTCTGTATATGCAAATTGTGCAAATACCAACTACCGTATTTACTCGTTTGAGCGCCGCGACGCTCTTTAAATTTTCAGAGCTTCAGATGCGGCGCTCATTCGGGGGCGGCGCTCAATCGGGGGCGGCGCTCAATCGAGTAAATACGTATAGGTTATTTTGAGGCAACGAGGGGATATGTGATTTATTCACCGAGGCGCGCAGCGCCGAGGTGAATAAACACATATCCCCGAGGTGCCTCAAAATAACATACTTATTTTTCACACTGCGAGGTCGCGTTAATGAGTCAGAAAAGAAATAATTCTCAATGCCATTTTGCCTTCGTGATGTTGTTTTTTCTCATTTTTTGTGCTGCAAAGACATTGCAGGTGAATATTAGAGGGGATTATTAATTGCAGGTGAATATTAGAGGGGATTATTAAACGGAAATTGATTATAGGGGAATATTGAATATATTCCCCGATAAGAACAAAGGAAACCGAGCAGGGTGAAAAATAAGATATCTAAGCTCGAGTAAAGGAGTCTAGTATTTTCATATCTTTGTTTTTATTTCACCCGTGGTCTTCTATAAGAGTTATACTTTCATATAACCGCGCTTGAGCTCAAATTAGGCATCGCTGTATTTAGCAAACTTAAAGCTGGTACACATTATCTGGGCAATGCCTATAAGTTTTGTCCCGTGCGTAATGTTCAGAAAATATTAACTACAAGTATATCTATATAACAACTGAAGATGATCTCTTAACAGAACTAATCAAAGCTGCTTGGACATGTTAATTTTTTGAAATGTAGGTTTACAGTATATCAAGCAACTTTGTGTCCCTGAATTTAATGCTGTAGAAATGGAAGTCGCCTCAAAGTAAGTGCATGCATATGTTCGATTCTTTATCATTTTGTTATAGCATACAGGGTGTATAAAAAAAAGGAGACCTTTAGAAATCAAGCGTATTGTTAAAATTTGAATGCCATTTCAATTGCACATATGCTGAACTGTGGTGCGTGAAATATTGATGGAGTGCATATATTAGAAAAAGGAGACCTTTAGAAATCAACCATTGTTATAATTTGAATCCTGGAGCACTTTGCTAAGCACATAGCAGATTGATCCCAGGAGCAGACAATCTTTTGTTTAAACGTTATTTCAAATTCTAAAGGTCTCCTTTTTCTAATATATGCATCCATCAATATTTCACGCACTACGGTTCAGCATATGTGCAATTGAAAAGGCATTCAAATTTTAAGAATATGCTTGATTTCTAAAGGTCTCCTTTTTTTTTATACACCCTGTACAGTAGTTAATAGAAATATACATGGTTAGGAAAGCCGGTAAACTTCAAAGAATTTCCTATTCAAACTTCAACTTGTGTTGAAATGTAATTCCGAGTGCACACATCTTTTGTCTTGCGTTTATTAATATTCAAATATTACGGTTCAGCGATTGAAACTATAAGGTTTTTATTGGGTAATCGCCTCATTATACAGAATCCGAGTGCACAAATTTCCATAAACTTGGACAAAAACATATAACAATGACTTTTGTTAAGCTTCCAAACAATGTTTATTTTCTACTAACTATGGTTATAGCTACTGTTGATTAATTGATCGTGCATCATGTTATTTAATTATTTTTTGTTTTAGGTACTATTGTCTCGCTACCGCTTCAGTAAGTAGATATACAACTAATATAACCGTTATCTTCTTCTTATATAAACTTTCTATAGTCATGCAGTAAAATGAACACAGTTTAGAAAAATTGTGTCAAAATATGTTTATGATACTTTTCAGGCACTTCTTAAATATGTTGAATTTATTCAAAACATTGTTTACGCACCTGGATCTTTAAAGATTGTATTTAAAGGAAGCGAACAAACTACGATGATAGGTATTGTACTCTTCAGTAGATTAATATCATACGTTTAATAACTTGTCGTTTCTGTAACGCAAATTTACATGTGGATATATTGCATGGATGCCGGAACCACGGGTGCAGCGGGTGCAAGTGCACCCCTCGCCTTTTGCATTTTCAACTTTGTGGGTGCAGTGCGGGTGTAGAATATGGGTGCAACGGGTGCACAAAACTTGTACAACAGACAGAATTAAACGTCACTCGAGGATGTGTGTGGGGGTGTTCCACGCCCCAGTCGTCAGGAATTCGGCAAAGTTATTATCCATTAGGCGAAAGGTGAAACGGAAAGCAAAGAAACGAGAAATTACGGAGGAATTGTGGCTAAATCATTGTATTCGGTCCGAAAAAATTTGGTGACGGGGAGGAAGGTCGACACGAATGTAGGATCATGACGCCCTTTCATTTTCATTGGTGCCCTTTTGTTAAGGAGTATGCCCTCTTGTTAACCAATTGCACCCCTTGCCCTCAGCAACTTCCGGCATCCCTGGATATATGATCAAATTCGCTTTACATCAAGTGTTATTCTACAAGCTTACCTAATTACATACTTAGCCTAGACTATTTATAATTAAAACAATTGTGATATTACTTTTTAACTTATTTCTTTTATACTATTCAAATATAATGCTTTAATCTATTTTTTTTCTTTTTTTTCTTAGATGCAGCTACAGCACGGAACCTGGAGTTAATATTGAATGCTCGGAATTTTGGAAGTGATCACTGTCTGTATGGTGTGATAAACCATACTAAAACTGCCGCAGGAGGTAAAGTTGTTGTTTCACTAATTATACCAAAATATCATATGTTTCATGCCAAAATCACAAAACTTGGGAGGACCAAGAGGAGTCGCGAAGATATGAAAACTCATCAATAATGACACTCGTCATCCATTGAGGCATCACTGATCATTGATGGAAATGATATCCACCAAAAGCAGGAAGATGATGTTATTTTCAACTTGGCACTAATCTTCCGTTGTCTCATTGAGCGATTCCCTTTCACCTATTATATCAGCAATCACCGACGGAAATAATAAAGCTTGAAATAGATATGCGCACTAAATCGTTGCTATTTTATTACACAAATAATCTATTTATCTAAAAACTCTTGACATATTTTGTTAATATAACATATTAATATTTTTCAGCTCGTTTGTTAAGATCTAATATACTGCAGCCACCATCAGGTAGGAATACACCACAATGATTATTCAAATCATGGATGTTTACGACTGTACTTTGAGTTAACCATAAAAAGAGTTGAGCAAGTAAGTAAGTATAAGTAAAGTAAGAACTTTTTTAAATTCCAGGAAGCTTTCTCACTCAATGTGATTTTCCCTTTGGGAAAGGAACTATTATTAACATCCTAATTTATAAAATCGAATACTATAGATCTTGAAAATACAACAATCTGGATGCAAATATTTATTACATAAATCTATTTAGTGAAAACATAAATCTATTTAGTGAGTTTGGAGCTGGAACCTCCTCATCCAAAGAGTTTCAATCAACTTATACTTAGGATTCAAGAACGTGTTTACTTTTTTGCCTGTAAACGTAAAGTAAAAAATATAGTTTATATTACTATCATATAAATAATACATGCGTACTCTATTTAGATGTTGGAACAATCAACACTAGACTTGACTGTGTTGCTGAACTTCTTGAAAAGGAGGTAAACTTATTTGATTATTAATTATTATTAACCGAACGCGAGGTCTGCAAAGAGAAAGAGTCCATAGGGCGAATTTTGTTCAAAAAGACCGAGGTCCGATATTTCTCTGTACATACCGAGCAAGCGAGGTTAATAAAAGTTTATTATATGGCATTTATAGCCTATGCATTTATGCCTGAAACAAGAAATGCATGATTTGAAATGCATATTAGTAGCGTGGTACAGTACACATTTGGTCGAAGAAAAAAAATACCAATGTATTCCTTTTTTCCACTAAAAACCATTCGCAGATATCTTATTAATTAAGAAATTAAATTATAATTTTCAATTTTTGCGTTTGTTTTTACGTAATAATAGAGAGTTTAAGCTTCACGTTGTACGGCAAACGGCTAACGCCAGGCAAAGAAAAATTTTACGGTGTCAGGCAATAAAGAATAAATGAACTTACTGTTTTAAAACTGCAATGCATGACTATTCTTTCGACACAAGAAAGAAAATATGAGGCGAAAACGGTTAACGAAAATTTTGCGAAGAAAGTTCGAACCTGCCGTTCACGGAAACGCGAAGCTTAAACTCCCTATAATGACCGCCGGTCCATTACGGGAAAATAATGGACCGCTGAGAGTGGCCTCAGAATCTCAGCCAATCACAGACCGCGATTTCACCGGAAGTGATGCATGCCATATAATAAGAATTAATAATGATTTCTATCACACAATATAATTGCTGACAATAAAAGTTGGAACACACGTGAACGCAAGAGAATTATGATAAAAACACTCGATATATGATCAAAAACATACAAATGGTATAACATTATATTCATATACTGTACCAGGTGAATCATGTGCGTGAATGCACGAAATTTGTTACTAAAATCATTTGTAACTTTTTAATAAAAAACATCTCGAGCCCAGTCGTCGAAGCCAGTCCTCATGTGAAAAGAGTAAAAGTCAACGCTCTGCCGAAAGTCGTGGGTTTTTTCCGGGTACTCCGGTTTCCTACCCCAGGGAAAGTTGACAGGGTGGGTTAGGTAAAAAGGCCCATAGTAATTGGCATATGCTGTTGTGGTGACCCTGCCCTAGATGGCCAAGCTAAATAAATAAATAAACAGAAATATTTTTTATCTTTTCTCTGTTTCATTTATTTTAGGAAGAATTTTACACATTGCAGTCAGGTATTTGTACTACAGTATATGGATACAATTTATTACAGCAGTCACACATGCAAGGGTCTCAAAAATGTCGTGCTTTGTATTCGTTTGTCATTATAGAGTGTTCGTGCGACGAAATATAACTGAATATCACACCATTTTTAATATGATCGTATTGTAAAGAAAACTCAAAATGACCAAATAACATACTTTGGCAAATTCTCTTAGCTGGCTTTGGTTTTGAGATATTTATATGATAAATTGATATGCAAATTAATTTCCCTTTTATGACGTCACATTGAATAATGACTTTCTGCAAAGGCTACATGATCTTGGATTGTCGGGCATCAAAATTAATGAATATGCGGTTAGGCCCATGTACACGATATACGCGACCAGTTGTATACAATTTGAAAATCTTGTGTTTGAAAACGACTGCTGACGCTGCTGTTCATTTTGAAATGCGACATATATTTTTGCATGCATTTATCAGAGTGCATACACCAGAATGAGATTCGTATACGACTAGTCGTATTGTGTAGATGGACCTTTATATTAACCTACTGCAAATATAAGTAAAGTATATAGTTATATATTTCTGATGTATGTTTTTTATACTTTTCCGTAGTTCTTGCAAGATTTTTGGATATTGATCACATCACATCAATGTGCATTCAAGTGCCAAAGACAGAGACAGTGAAAACTGCTGAATCAAAAATAACTAACGTGATTTACCTCAAACATACATTGGAACTGGTTGATCCACTTCGAGAAGCACTAAAGAATAGCAAGAATGCACTTTTCACTGCATATTACGAGGTAAGAGCTAAATTGAACAGTAACTTTATATTATATTGTAAACTTTATTGGAAGTAAAAACAAGACATACCAAACGGCAAGAGTGCAAACGGGACTATGCCAATTGTTTGAAGCTCAGCATATTAAATTTTATTAGAGACTATAAAGCTTTGTTTACACTATCAACGTTTCTGTGATCACAGGAAGAATTTTACATAGGCAATTTCTACGTTTTGAAGGATTTGTGGGAAATGTTTGAGAGAACTAACTTAGTGTTTAACACCGAGTCAGTTCCCCCAAACATTTCTTACAAATCACTTATCCATGTAAAATTCATACAGTGTGGACAGAAAATTTGATAGTGTAAAAGGCGGTTTTCCGCTAGGCGAAATTTTTCGATCGAATCAAAATTTGTATTGTTCAAATGATTTCTGATTAGTTCCATCTGAGTGCTTGTAAGACAAAAGAAAATTTCGATTCGGTCAAAAAATTTCGCCTAGTGAAAACCGCCTTTAAACGTGTATTAATAATTCAAGCACGTTAGGTGAAAGAACAGCCCGAAAATAAGTAAAACACACACCAAATCATTGTGGGAGAATGGGTTCAGGGTGAAGTGAACCAATTATATACATTATACTCTCAAACTCTGGTCAACCCAAAGACTCATTAAGCCTTATGTTTTCATCCCGCAGGCGTATATATAAGACCTGCTAGGAGAGACTGAATGCTCCATAGGAGCTCTGCCCGAAGGGTAGCGACCCCCTCTGACATAGACCTGAACCAAGGGGTGATAATCCCCTTGGACAGTACCTACGATTCGACTGATTATATTTACATAAATAACCTGAGTCTATGGGCCTGAAGTTGACCATTGGGAACACTACAACCCCACAAATACACAGCATGTGTATTCCCCATAGACGAACTCCCACCACAGCTGTATTTGTATACAAGACAGCTGCTGCCAGATGATAGTTAGACATATATTTGGGTGTTACCATCACTCATACTATAGCTGGATAGTCAGGAAGGCCAGAAAAAACCTGGAATATACAGGAAACCTGGATGGGGCCAAGACAACCAGCAGCTTCCCCACAAAGCTTCTATCTTACAATTTTTTAATTGGAGGGTTGGTAACACGACAAACAAAGCTTACTATCGAGGCACATTTTAATTATTTTTATTTAATTTTTTT